TGGCTGATTTTCAAATGTGATCTACATAAAAAAACTGTTAACAAAACAAAAAAGAAAGGAAAAAAAAAAAAACTAAAGATGTAATCGTGATAACATCATAATACAATTGATTAGCCGTTTTTTAATTAAAAATAAGAACTAAACAAAACACTAATTCTGTAGAACAGTGGATTGTCCAGGCATTGTATCACGAGGGCTATGGGTTGAGTTGTATCAATTCGATTGGTAATTTCTAAATTGATTTGAGGAAAATATAATGATTGAATTTAACTAATGAGAATTTAAATCAAATCTAAATTAATTGCGTGAATAAAATAAGTTTTTCCAAATTTGGAGAGAGACTTAGGATCTCAAATCCACTATCAATCGCATATCACATAATTTAAATACTCAATTATAGTAAATCAATGGTCCAGATAATAATGATGTATCTTAGCTACAAGCTTTGATAACATCGTCAAGAGGATGAGTATATTCAAAACGTAGGCACGAATCATCTTCGATCGGCATAAATCGTCCACACTAAACTAGGGTTGCGGCACAACTCATCTCCTCTAAACATGGCTCATCTCATGGTTTATATATACAAGAAAGTAAAACAGTTGTATGATCATGCATTCTCAATCACAAAAATTGAATACATAAATCGAATGAAAAGATTGTTTGAATAAAAGATCTAAAATGATCATACAATGATTATCCAAATCCAAAGAAAAACTAAAATTTAAATACAAAATTACATGATACTTGATTAGCGTTTCATCTCGATCCTAAGAAGAAAGTTTAGCTGCTCATGGAGAGATTGAACATTTTGAGGGTTGAAGAGAATGCCATGGATTAATGATTGTTCCTTGCTTCTCTAGCTTCTTTAGACATCTTCTTTAGGGTTTTGGATCCCTAAAACAAGTTTCCAAAATCTCTTTTTATCACCTCTAGTCAAATTCTGAGCAAAAATGCATGCACGCAAAATGAGGCAAGTCTACTTGTGTGGTTTAAATATTCCGCTCGAGCAGATTGAGTCAAGGTGAAAACATGTTCAAGGAAATCCGCTTGTGCGGTTTTTGAATTCTGCTCGAGCAAATTGAGTCAGTTAGGAATCTTTGCTCTTTTTGCAACCTTTTTGTCTTCGAAGTGATACTAGCCTGAAAAGGAAGAAAAAACACTTTATTTATCAAATATCATAAGCTAAAAGACTAAAAACATAAGTTATGGAGCCTCAAAGTGTTACATTTCAACTCATATCAATAGTTTTAAGAATTTATTCCCTTTTGACAAAGTATTGGATCATATATAAACAAATTATACTGAACAATTTTTTTTTTAAAAAAAAAGTCTTCATAAGAACAAGTTAGCATTGTTAAAGGGGGTGGGGGTGGGGGATGGGGAGGAGGTGGGGTTAGATCCCTACTAATATTACTTTAGAGGAATAAAAAACAAACATTTTTCTAGTGGTAGTTCAGGTCCTTCAACAAACATGGTTAACCATTTTGGACAAAAATGTCTCCTACATTTAGTTACCTTTTACATTGTTTAAGTGATTTTAAAACTTTAAAATTTAATAACTTTTGATTTACATCTTCATTTTTGTAAAATTTACATTTTTATAATCTTATTGACAAGATCTTTCAAACAAGGTTGTTGATATTAATTTTTGAAAATTTCCTGTCGACAAACATGCTGAGGTGGCATGTCAAATGTGCCAATGACGTGGCATGGTGACGTGGCCTTGGAGAACTAAGTAAAGGCCAAAAGGTTAGGAAAGGTAATTGTTGCAGATCATTTGAACTGATGCTAAAATCAAAGGAGCAGGACTGGGTCAAAACACCAGATCTGCTAATAGTTCCTAAAGAGTAGAGATATGGTCGAGTAGAAACAAGAATCAAGGAAGATCATAGATGACACGTGTGGCTACAGCAAAAGTGGCTAGCAAATATAAAAGCTCAAGACATTAGAAGAGAAAGGACACACAACTCAACTCACACAATGTGAATTCTAGGAGTAGCTTTCTATCTAGGAGTAGTCACTTAGCTTTTAGGAGTAGTTCAGCTATAGCTTGTTACTGTTTTCCCTGTCGATTCGTGTAATTACTGTCAAGTTCATGTAACTTATGGCAAGTGACAAATTTTTCTGTTTATATCAATTCAATTCTCAGTTCTCTTTACCCATTTTCTTCTTTACTTATTTTTCTCCAAAGAAGTCCTTCATCTATTCAAGGCATAGAACTCAACCACACCGCTTGATCTGTTATTGTTTTGTGAAGATTTTGGTTTATCTGTCAATTGGCTTATGTCGATCTCATTCAAACTAATTTTTTGGTAACAAAAGTCCATGATTATTATGAAATTCTGTAGAAAAAAAAAATCATGAAATTTTATTGTGTTCGTTATTATGTCACAATGACATTTCTCTAACTTCATACATAGTGAAAAACACATAAATACAAAGAAAATTTTGTATTCAACACAGAGAAAAATACAAAAACACATAAATTTTTTTTGTTTCAACATATAGGAAAGCCCAAAGATAAAGAAAATTTTGTGTTTCAATACAGAGAAAAATAGCAACAAAGAAATTTTGTGTTTCAACATAAAGACACAAAGAAAATAATAGGAAGAGATGGACAGAGGAGATGAGAAAAGAGATTTAAAACTCTTACATTATATTTGTGCATAAATCAACGATAATGAAACAAATCGACTGAAGTGAAAGTAAAACATGCTAGATCTATGTATAGAACGAAGAGAGGGGTTGTCGATGGTGAACGACGATGATTAGGCGACGATGGTAGATGACGGAACATTGATAGATGTTGTTGAGAGAGTGATGAGTCATTTTCACTCCAAAAATAAAGAACTAAACTAAACCTCACTTCTGTAAAATAATGATAAGTTTAGGTATCGATCTACAGGGACTAAAAGACTAGGTTGTTTAAATATTAGAAAATCAATTCTTACTTAATTCAAATCAGATAAATATTTTGATTTTAATCTAAAATTAACTTAAAATAGTTATTAAACAAAAAGAAAAATTGAGATGGAATTTAAGTACAAATTCCAATAAATCAATGATTTGGATACTAGTGATGTATCATGGCTAAAAGCACTGCTATCATCGTCAAGAGAATGAGTATAATCAAATTGCGGACACAAATCATCTTTAGTAGGTACGAATCATCTACGCTAAACTAAAATGTAGCACAACCCGTCTTTCTTAGGTATGACTCGTCTAAAAATTTGTATATACAAACGAATAAAACAAATTTATAACAATATATTCTCAATCACAGAAATCGAATACATTCATTAGATAAAAACTTTACTTCAATAAATAAACTTTGAAAGTTATACAATGATTATACAAATCAAATCAAAACTAAAATCACAATACATTAATACAAGTTACTTGATTAGAACTTCATCTTAATCCCAAAGAAGAATATTAGCCGCTCATGGTTGAGGTGGAAAACCTTTTCTTCTTGCCTCTCTCAACTTTTCTCTAGAATCCTACATAACCCTTGAGAGGGTGATTTGCACCAGGTTAATAGGCCGAGCTAAATCAGAGTGTTGTATGGGGCCGAGTTAAAGGTTCGTTAGCTTGCAAGGTTTTAGCCATGTTATCAACATTTGGAGCAAGCAAACAACAAATGTCAATGTTTAACCAGGCAGAATTGGTTTAGTTGACTGGGCTAAGGGCAGAATTGTGTTGAGCTAAGTCAGCGTATCGAGATAAGAAGAGCGCCGAGCTAGATCAGCTCGGCGTGGTGTTTCGTTTTGTTCTAGAGCCAGCAAGGCTCAATCAGCTATATAATTGGTGAACAATCGGGCTGATAGTTTTCCCAATTACCAATCAGGGTGTTAGACCATTTCATTTGAACATCAGCGATAAGAGTGTGAAGAGATTGCCATTATCCTTTAAGAATGTGATCCGTAGTGGGACTCTACGAAGAGGAATTAGAGTTCTATTAAGATTCTACCGTGTGGAACGTGTAGAAGGAGGTAACGCAATTATATTCACCGAATTCAATAGAGCTTTTTTTCATATTGATCTTGAGTATTGACTTAAGTATAACAGGGATTTTCTGACATACATCCGCCGGTAAGCTCATCAAAATTATTTTGTAGGACAAACGACATTGTTCGTAGAGGTTCAAGCTTAATCACAAGGAATACACGTATGACAAATATTTAATGCTTGTACAACCATGTTGACAATGTCGTTATTTGCTATGTGGGGCATGGGAATATATCAACCATTATGGTGATTTTAGACACATTTTTAAGGGATTGGGATTTTTCTCATTATATAATTGTTATGAAAAAAATTTATTATATTATATTATTTAAGAATTGTTATGAAAATTTATTATTATTTTAAATTTTAGAAGAATTATTACAAAGTTATGACTAATGCCATAAAAATACTTTATTATAATTTGGAAAGGGGGAGGATTTCAATTTCATTTTACTCTGAGTTATCGGGGAAGAGAAAGAGTTGGGCGTGAGAAAGTGAATTAGTCTCGTTTGGAAACAAGCTAATTTAATAAATTTTTAATTATTTTATTAAAATATGAGTTAAAAAAAATTAATATGTTTGTAATGAGTTTTTGACTTTTTTAAAAAAAATGTACAAAAATAAAGAGAAAGAAAAATATTTTGACTTTTTAATATGAATTATTAATTTTTTAACTTTTTTTAATAATTTTTGACTTTTTAACTAAACCAACTAATCCCAAACGAGTCCTTAGTTCAAATTCCAAACCCAGCCTGCTTTGCAGAATTCAGATCGCCCCCCGACAAACATTCCGAGCATATACCCATACCCTCCCTCTTCCTCTTCGTTGTCACACAGAAAGGAGCGTTTTAACAATAACCCACCCTACCCTTGTATCATTGTCGTCGTCATTAATAATTGTCTTGTCTTGTTGTCTTTCTTCGTCGTATTCTTCTTCTTGTTGCTCATATATGCACTCTCTCTGTGTCTCTCTGTGACTGTGAGATCTACCTCGATGGCAGGGCAGGTCTTGTAGTAACAAGTATCCAATTACAAGTGTCGAAGATTAAAGAGAGGAAAAATGGAGGGTGAGAAGAAAGCTTCGTCGGTATCAGATGTGGGTGCTTGGGCGATGAATGTGATAAGTTCAGTCGGAATCATCATGGCCAACAAGCAGCTTATGTCCCTCAATGGTTATGCTTTCACCTTCGGTCAGTCTCTCTCTCTCTCTCTCCCTTTTCCTTGGATCTTATCTCTCTCATCTGATTTTAACCTCCATTCCATGTGCTTAGCTTCTTTCGGATCTTGATCCTTCTTCTTCCTTTAATTCCGCCCTTTTTTTTTTTATTTTATGCTTGCTTGTACTTGAATTAATTCTTTTTCGCATCATTCTGTCTGCAAATTCCATCTCTCGCCTTGTTATGGTTGAATCTGCTACAAGTTTTGGGCATCTGTTTTTTTTATTTTATTTTATTTTATTTTATTTTGGTAACGTATAAAAGAAAAAAGCAATATCTTTTACATAGCTCGGGTATTTAAAACCTCTACAAAATGGAAGAGTTAGACAGCAGAAGGTTAACAACTCCCTACTCCCAACTATACCCCAAAACAATAATAATTAAGGGGGGAAAATATATAAGAAAAAATGTCCATTGTATATATTTTCGTCTGATGATAAAAAGTATCGTGTGCATATATTTTCTTTCACATTTTTTTTTTTTCATAGGAGAGGAGAAGATATATGACATATTTATTTCTCTTAGGAAAATGTTTGGTAGCTCAAAATTTTGTAGCTCAAATGGCTCAAATCTGTCAAAACGATGTCGTTTTGCACTCAAAATCTGTCAAAACGACGTCGTTTTGAGTGATTTGAGCCATTTGAACCACAAAAATTTGAGCTACCTAGCATTGTTGTTTCTCTTATATATGTAAATAAATCAGCTCTTCATAATCATTTTGGTCATAAAATTGACATGTACAGTTCACATGTTCAACCTATATAATGGACCTCTATATCATCAAATTATTTAAGATTTTGCTCCCCCCATATAATCCACATATGATTTAAGGAAATCAGCATCCACAGCTTTTTCGTCCTCTTACCCACTTGAACCCCTTGCCAACTGTAAAGGAGTTCATCCACCCCACAAGTGAATGCCCAAATCACCTTGAACAAAGATAATACTGAATTCCAAAGCTCCCTTCTCACTTGGCAATGTACAAGTCAATGATTCACTGATTCTCCATCCTTTTTGCACATACAATACCAATCTAGAAACATTTGTTTTCATCGGATCAAATTATCTGTAGTAAGGATTTTACCATCAGTTGCACACCAAACAAAAACATCACATTGGAAAGATCCTCGGGCTTCTAAATAGCTTTCCATGGGATAGAAGGCTAGAAGCACTATGATGATAAATCAATGGCCTCTAATACAAAGCACCCAGTATAGTCAACTTCCATCTCAAAGAGTCTTCCCTTGTCTAAATTCTAGATATCTTGTACAACCTCTTAGCCGCCCCATCAGTCGATCATCTCCCTGCCCTATAGTTGCAACATAACAAGATATTTATATGTTGATCAGCATGACAAAGCAAGATGTCCCAAAAAACATATTGTCCCTCTCTACGTAAATACGCATCCACTGTGGCATCTCGGTCCCCGACAACATGAAAAACAGAGGGATTCCATTTGCCAACATCTCTTCCCCACTCCACAACTGCAACTAAAACTTAAGTTTCCTAGTCCCTCATTGAAAAGCATGATTTAAGTTCTAGAGTATCGAATAATACTAAAATTCTTTTCGAATTTGCCTCTGTTTGGAAAAAAAAAACTTTATTACTTTTCATAGCTCTGACTCTGAGCCGCCGAGGACGGAATGGGTAACAAGGACATAAACTATATTGGCAAACTCAATAAAGTACTCCTAGCAAGTGTGAATCTTCCCCCTTTCAACATGCATTGCCTCTTCCATTTTGTCAACCTACTTTGAAACCTCACCACAACTGGATTCCAAACTAGCTGAGTTTTGAAAGAGGAACTCAATGGCAAACCTAGATAGGAAGACTAGAAAGACCCCGCTTTGCAACAAAGGATAGATATTAGCCAATCTATATTTGGTACCTTCCCTACCAGAATCAATTTGACTTCTCAAAATTCTCTCGAAGGCTTAAAACAACTTCAAAGCATAGGAGCACACACACTAGATACCCAACTACTTTGCATCCGTCCCATGACAAATAATAATATTGTATGCAAACAAGAGATGAGAAGTAGTCAACAAGGAATCATCCAACCGTCCTACCTGAAAACCTTCATAAAGCTTCCCCCACTGCCATATCAACCGTGCTACTAAACACCTTACCAAAATCACAGCTGGCAAATAAAAGGTCTCCCGACCTCCACTCCCTATAAGTTTGAAGAAAACTCATTAGGAAACCATTCACTAAGACCAACATTTTTACCGTAGATATACAAAACAGCACCTACTTCCTTCATTATCCCCCAAAGCTCATCATACCATCACATAAAGCAAGAAATCCTGCCTTATGTGGTGTTTGTGGAGTGAGAGAAGTAGATCTTTTGAAAATTTGGAGAATTTGGTGTTTGGAAGGGACAATGTCTCCTTGTACTTTTGGTTTAGGAGATTCTTCCTTTTTCTCTAGGGGATTGTGTTGGTATTTGCGGAATTGTACATCCTTGTAGACTAAGAATCACAGACACGTGACACGATACGAACATGTGGACGTACAAATTTTTAAAAAATGCAAAACACAAAACGTTAGGGACACGTGTGAAACATATAATTTTATATATTTATTAGATTTTATATTTTTAATTAATATTTTTTTATGTCAATATGTTATTATATATATATATATATATATATTTATTTTATGTTAAATATTTAATTTTATCAAATTTATTAACATTAAGTTTGCTATTTTAATACAAAAATAAAAATTTTAATTTTTTTTGAAAAAAATGGTCCGCAGCATGTCTTCATCGTGTCCAACTTTTTCCAGCATATTCGGCGCGTGTCCATGTCCGACACGTGTCAGACACCTGTATGTCACCTCCGGAGAGATGTCTGTGCTTCATAGCTTGTACATATATGGACTGACACCTTTTTGTTTTTATGTGCATCACATGTACACCGTTGCACTTCCTTCTTGGTGTTTCATTTTATATAAAATTTTATAAAGAAATGATCATCCATATTTCTATATCAACCTTGCACACTGCTTCAAGGATATTTTTGAATCTATACTCTCATTTGTCACCAATCAACGTGGCAAATGAACAGGAACCTCTTAAGAACCCTAATGAGAAAATGGGAGTTTTTAAGAAACTTCATATTCAAAATTTGTCTAACTTCCACAAAGCCATTTTGAGAATCCAATACTTTGTGTAGAAGCTTATCAACCTAATGGCCAATACTTTGTCTAGAAACAAACTAAACAAGTGTAAAGTCCCTAATGTTTTCCGCTCCTCCTTTATTGGGAAGCAAAGTAACAAAAGAGGCACACACTCATAATGGTCAAGAAAGAATTGCACCCTATCACCTCCTTCTAACCACCTCTTTTTTGTTTTTTTTAAATGAATAGCTCCTCCTCCCCAACCACACCACAACATTATTGGAAAAAAAGCTAAAGACATCCCATATGGCCAAGAGCCTTATCACGATTGAGAACTTCTAAAATTACTGCCACCACCTCCTTTTTAGTAAAAGCCCTCTCTTACCGAGCTACATACTTGGAAGAGACAATGGAGAACTCCATCCCATCAGACCCATCCAACCTTGGATGCCTCCTGATGCTACTGCGGGTTCTAGATGGAACGGGTCGGACTGATCCACGTTTCCCAAACCAATGTCCGAGTGACCATACTCCTTGGTGGGTGACAGGAAAGGGTTATTGGGACAGGGTCTCTGGCGACAATGAGCACAACTGACGCGCGAAGCAAAGCGTTCCCACAGACTGCGCCAACTGATGATACTGCGGGTTCCAGATGGAACGGGTCGGACTGATCCACGTTTCCCAAACCAATGTCCGAGTGACCAAGCCCACCAGAAAACCTGCGCAAGAGTTTAACGGGGAACGGGGAGTCCCCCAGCGAACCCTCCAACGAGCAAGTTAGAAAGAGAAGTGGACTGTAGAGATAGAAAGCTTAACCTTCTTCTTGTCTTTGACGTTTGCTTATATCCTCCGATAATCATTTCGTTGTCCCTTCTGACCTGTCGCCATGGCCGAAAGTCTATGCTCTAGCTTGTTTTGTTCATGGTGAGGCCGTTCTGTCTCGACGGGAAGGGCTTATCGCAATAAATGCTGTAAGGGACTTCATTAATGACTGATGTGCAGTGCAATAACTTTGTAGGATCTTTATCTGCTTATGTGGCTTGTCCTTCACCTGCCACGTGTCTGAGTGTCATTGGCTCTTAATGTCATGTTGACTTCCATTCATGTTGGGCCTCATCAGTTGAATTATGTATTGGGCCCTAAGTAGTGGGTTTGGGTTGTTCATAGTGGGCTATAGCCTTTATGCGCCTACCCATGTTTGAAAATTTCGTCAATTTGAAAATTTTCAAAAATTTGCCAAAATTGTCTTTTCAACACCCTATATTGACCTATCGCTTCATTTCTTGCTCAACGCCTAGCCTTCCCTGTCATGGGATTCCGCCACGTGTACGCCCACGATCCACTGCCCCTTTCCCCTACCCTGTCTTTTCCACTTCAAATCACTATGTGCCCTGCCACCCCTCGAGCCCCGCGCACCGCCACTCGGTCACCCTTCGCGGTCGGCCCTCCTCATGGTCGGGCCATCCACTCGGTCACCCTTTGCGGTCGGCCCTCCTCATGGTCAGTGCCTCCACTCGGTCACCTTTCGCGGTCGGCCCTCCTCATGGTCGGTCCCTCCCGTCGGTCACCCTTCGCGGTCGGACCTCCTCATGGTCGGTCCCTCCACTTGGTCACCCTTCGCGGTCGGCCCTCCTCATAGTCAGCCCTCCACGAGGTCGGCCCCTCCATTCGATCACCCGTCGCTGTTGGCCCTCCTCATGGTCGGCCCCTTCGCCGCGCCGGTCTCTACCAACCATCATTCTATCCATTATTCCCTTCGTTGGACTAAAGCTGCACTTGGGAATGGGGGCTACTGATATGGGTAGGCCCATAAAGGCTATAGCCCACTATGAACAACCCAAGTCCACTACTTAAGGCCCAATACATAATTCAACTGATGAGGCCCAACATGATTGAAAGTCAACATGGCATTAAGAACCAATGACACTCAGACACGTGGCAGGTGAAGGACAAGCCACATAAGCAAACAAAGATTCTGCAAAGTTATTGCACTGCACATCAGCCATTAATGAAGCCCCTTACAGCATTTATTGCGATAAGCCCTCCCCGTCGAGACAGAACGGCCTCACCATGAACAAGGCAAGTTAGAGCATAGACTTTCGGCCATGGCGACAGGTCGGAAGGGACAACGAAATGATTACCAGGGGATATAAACAAACGTCGAAGACAAGAAGAAGGTTAAGCTTTCTATCTCTAATCTATCTCTACAGTCCACTTCTTTTTCTAACTTGCTCGTCGGAGGGTTCGCTGGGGGACTCCCCGTTCCCCGTTGAACTCTTGTGCAGGTTTTCTGGTGGGCTTGGTCACTCGGACATTGGTTTGGGAAACGTGGATTAGTCCAACCCGTTCCATCTGGAACCCACAGTATCATCACCTCCTAATTGCCACGAATGCAAATTATTATCAAAGTTGGGTACTCCTGGTTGGATCTCCTCCTCCCCTGCAATTATCTATCTTCAATCTTAATACGTGTTAGTGGTAATAGCATTGGCATCGATGAGAAAAGTGATGGTTCCGGTCCCCTTCCCTCTACCACAAGGATCTTGACTTCTTGCACCAACTGATTTCTTCTACCCTCGCAATCCTACCAAACTCCTCAAGATTCTTCTTGTCCTTGCTCTCCAAACCTGATAAAGGCGTGCTACTTAATCTCATCAAGCCAAAAAAATCTTTCCCAAGTGATAGAGGGAGTCCATCTCCAAGTGACCCCAGCAATGGGAAGGCTATTAAGAAGGAAAATAGAAGAAAACTCAAAGAGAAACTTCATAACCTAAAAAGTGCTAGGGGGAAAGTTTGAATCCTCCTTTGTTATGAGAGCCTTTTTATTTCTTCCGTAGGCTTAGTTTTGTATCCTTTGGTGGGAGGAATTGGTTCTAATTATTTTTGTGCTCCCTATTGGATGTGTGTTGAACTTCATTTTATAACTTTATTTTTTTGGTTATAAAATTACATACTTAAACCACCCCCCCCCCCCCCCCCGCGCCCCAAAAAAAAGAGATCATGGGCCAACTATTTAGCCGATCGGCTAACAACTTCTATAGGATTCCCGGGGCCCAATAAAAAAAAAGAAAAAAAAAGAGCTTGGTAAGAACCTTTTGGCAAGTGTGGAGCTACGATTGCACTGTGTCAAAAGATTTTCAATCAAGTGAATCATGAACATAATGACTTCAAATGTTTGCCTACCCAACCTAGCCCAAGTTTGGTCTACGGAAATTGGCAGCATACAACAAGTGATGTGTATGGGTGGACGGTCAATAGATGACTCTTGCCTTTTCCTTAGAGACCTCAAACAACACTTCAGTGAGCGTATTAAAAGAGGAGGGTTAATTGAGCTACCTGTACGTGACCTATGGACTAATAATCGATGACAATTCTTTTGCCCTTGGCTTAGAGGCTTCATAGCAAGAGACCAGCGCACAAATTGTTAAATGCGTTGTAAAGCAATCCAAATATGTCAATTTTATTTGAGTTTAAGAACAAAACCAAAAATACTTGGAAGGAAAATAATGAATATTGGGTCGGGGATATGGAGATTCTAGAGGGAGGGGAGAGAGATGAGACTTCCTGTTGAGGATATCTAAACCCTTTACTTTAGGGTTTCGTCATTTGTGAAAAATTATCACTAAAATGTTATACTAAGTATTGAAAGTATTATTTATGGATTATGCTATCTACACAAAATTTTATAATAGGAAGTGTTAAGCTAGTAGGAGAGAGGAAGACTGGTGGTTTGGTGAAGGAAGAATTATTTGGTCTAAAATTTATGGTCTCAAGTAGTGCCAAGGATCTAATGTGGTGTTTGTCTCTTGCTGCTGAAAATCTGCAAACACATGGAGAATGCTTGGATGCTAGATTTAATGTTAAATCTACATTCTCAAGATTGAATTCCAGATTTTGGTTGGTTGTTAAATCTATTCTGTTTTGGATAAAAAAGGAATTTTGTTACTAATCTATGAAGTGTGTTCCATTTGTTTGATGTTTCACTCCACCCAACTTTGTTTTCAGCTGATCACAGTTTGGATCACAGTTTTGACGAGATCTTCATGTTTTGCTTTCTCCAGCTACAACTTTAACTGGATTCCACTTTGCTGTGACTGCATTGGTTGGCCTGGTGTCAAATGCTACAGGTTACTCTGCATCAAAGCATGTTCCTCTGTGGGAGCTTCTCTGGTTCTCAATTGTTGCCAATATGTCTATTACTGGGATGAATTTGAGTCTCATGCTGAATTCTGTTGGATTTTACCAAGTATGGATTTATAAAACATCATCTACATACAATTTTCTTTAATATTAGTTACATGTTTTATTATGCAACTCAAGTGTGTTCTCTCTATGTGATGCTAATGACTCAAGTCATAATTTGACTAGCCTAGTTTTATGTAGAAGGTACTGGATATAGTTTTTCCTTTCTATGATTAGGAACTTGCTCGTTTAATTTTTAACTTAAAAATAAGAAATGTACAATTTATGAGTAGAAATAGAAAATGTTAATTAAACAGCTATTGTAAACATGTAGGTTGAATGCTAAGGTACCTTTTATTATTTCAGTTATACCAACTATTTGCTGTAGTGTTGTAGAAAATGAAATTATTAATACAAGACCTTATCTAGTAAATTTTTTGTTCATATTTGAGAAAATAATGATTCAGCAAAATAATTTAAAATGTGATTCATTTTGTGATTGTTTATATTGACTTTGGGGTGGGGGAATCCTTATGCTTTATTTATCAGATTCAAGCTTTCTAGTTGAAATATATGTTACATGGACTCTTCAAAATAAATCAAATACCCGTGTCGGATACTAGACAATTGGACAAGGGTATGGGATATGTGTCTAATACTTTCCATTGGACCCTTCTTGTATGTTTGTATTTAGCACTAGTATTATATGTATATATTGTTGTATAATTTGTGTAAAATGAGTAAAATGCCTTATTGACATTGTATGTTACATATAACACCAATTTATCTAACATAATAGATTAAAAATATAACCCTTTTTTGCCGAGTCCACGCATCGTTAAATTTGAGGCTTGATGGGTCCAACCTCTAGATACACACTTGATCTGAGTCCAAGTAACATAGGTTAAAATATAGTAGACTACTTGACACGAAGCAATAAATATCAATGGGTTTCAATCAATGAGTCAATATGAAAAATGCATTTTCTATATTGTCAATACATTTGTCTAAGTTGGCTAAGGCTGTAAAGATCTCAAATATAACCCTTTTGTGTGTTGTCTTCATAATTTTGCATTATGTTTATGCTTGAAAATTATAGATTTTCAAGATGAATAGCTAGTTCAATTGCATCTTTGAGATCTTTTGAATATATAAGACATCTCTTATATAATTTCAAACCTCAGCCTTCCTTTGAATCAAAGAATAGTCGTTTGTTCATTTTCTACTACAAACTTAAGGAAGAGTGCCTTACCCTGTTCCGATGTCAATCCACTTGTGTATGATCTCCCACAAAGTGAAAATGTCATGGCAAAACCTTAAGCTCTAATACTAAACTAATGTAGGATAAGACGTTGAAGTATTTAAGAGTTGAAATTAGTAGGCTTCCATTGCAGTTTAAAGCTGTTATATAGCAGAAAATTTAGGTGTTTAAAATATGTATGGAAGGAAGTAAGGTTAGGGCTTAGTTAAATATGGAAAATGAATGAATTTTGGTACTATTTTGATGCTATGAACAGTACCTGTGAATAGCAACTGGAGTTGTTATGTATTCTTTGGCACTTAAGGTGCTAAGCTATGATGCACGGGCACGGACACGGACACGGACAAGGGACACAACACAGACACGCAAATTTTCAAAAAGCAGGGGACACGACACGCTAGCGACATGCTCAATATGTGTAATTTTATTTATTTATTATGTCTAAAATTTTTTAAAAAAATTAATAATTTGTTCAATAACAATAAAATTAATAAACACGTTCAATAAAAAAGCAAATTCAGTAATTTACCCATCAGGCAATTTTAAAAAATCGAAAATAATTTATTCTATATAGGGTTAGGTTAGATAATATGTTCTAGTGGTCAGGTTCTCATCTCAAGTATAAAAAAAAAAGTTTTAAACGTATATATATATATAAATGTTAATGTTTATCATTAGATAGAGGGGAAGAAAAAAAAAAAAAGAAATAGAGTAAGAGAGAGACGAACACATAGAAAGAGAGAGGGACGAACACAGCGTGCGAGAGAGAGAGAGTGATTGAATACACACAGAGAGCGACAAAGAGAGAGTGATCGAAGAAGAAGATCGAACAAGAAGCAGAAGATCGAACAAGAAAATGAAGAAGAAGAGAATCGAAGAAGGAAGAGGAGAAGAAAAGAGAAGAACAAACTTGAAAAAGAAGACATACCTACGATTTATTGCAGCAAACAGTGAGCAGCCCTCAGCCTTGTCTCTCTTCTCTTCAATCTAGGGTTCCAAAATTTTCAATTTTTGTTTTTTACAATTTGACCCCACTTACAAGTTTTAGAAATTATGTTTTGCACCTCGTAGTGTCTGAAATGTGTCCGAACGTGTCCCAAACATGTCCGGCTGCAAAAAATTCAAAAAAAAAAAAGAAAAAAAAAGAAGGTACTCCTTCGTGTGTCAGATACGTGTCCACAAATTGTCCGACACTGATACGTAGTCCTTAGGGAGATGTCTATGCTTTATAGGTGCTAAGGCTGAGGGACCATAATGCTAGAGGGTTGAATAGGGTTTAGTATCGATCATGTTTTTGTGGTTTAGAGCTTAGAGGGTAAAAGTGCAGAGCAATTGAAGAAAGAGAAGAAGATAGTTCTAGGAATTACTCTTAGAGGCCTTAGTATCACACCTAGGGTTAGATTGCGTCACACAATCATATCTAAACCAAACCAAATCAAATCAAACTAAACCATGTGTCCTAATCAAGTGGGATCGACTGTATGAATTATTTTTTATTAATTCTGCTTTGTCAAGGGCTAAATATGCTTAATTAAATTAAATAAATTTATATTATTTCTTACTACTACATCCTATGTCTTTGCTTCCCCCTAACATTTCCATTTATGGTGATCATATCACTCTTCCTTAATATTGCATTTATTGATCATTGTGCATGACCAAATCATCTTAGGTTGTTTTCGTTCAACTTATGGTACTCCTACATTAGTTAGAAATAATTATCTCAATACTTTCTTTTTTTTTTATTGAATTAAAAACATGACCTAACTTTATTTTATAGATTAGAAAGACTTCATTCACCAGTTAGGATTAGGATTTTTAAAAAGAAATTACTAAACTTTTGACTTTTAAAACATATCTAAGACCAAATAAGACCCACAAATAAAAACCAGTTAAATAATGTCACCCACAATCTGACCCATGGGCTATCCATTCAACCCATTTCTAGAAAATTATGAAATTGCCAAAATACCCATAGCTCCTAAGACTTGGGGCAAATTACACTGACCTCCCTTGACTATTACCCAAAATACACTTAGCCGAAGAAATGACACGGGCCTCTCTGGGCCTCAAAACTTAACCCCTCTAACAGAAAATATGGAAAGACTAAACTGTCCCCATGTTTTAAATTTTTTTTTTTCCAAATGGGATCCTCCACCCCCACCCCTTTCTTCCTTCCATCCTCAATTGCCAGTCATTGTTGCTGCGACCATGACCAACAACCTTTGCCACCTCAATCTTACCCACACCCCATAGCCCTCACTGCCTCCATCTCACTTCAGCACCCCAACCCCTGCCACCAAAAGCCCAACACCACCAACCTTACCCCAAAGCCACCATCACCAAAACCCTAACCCCACACTAAAGCCACCAGAGGTCTAGGGGGTTGTGACTTCCGACGATACTTCCCTCGTTCTCACTCCCTTTATTGAATCTATATTCTTTTTCCGCTTGCTCTATCTCAGACTTCCCTTTGTTTTTCTCACCAAGCTATTGCATCCCCTTGTAGACACCCCATTTTGACAAACCCTAAGACTTGGGCATTTTGGATGCAACCTGATGATGGAACTATTATATTTCTAATGCTTTGGTGTATTTGGACTTTCTGAGCCCATTTTTTGCTTTACTTGGCCAAAATTCAAACATCTTTTCAAAAGGAGATGAAATATGTGTTCAATTAATTTTGAATTGTCAATTTTTGGGGTTAATTTGAAGTTAATTAGACCCATAAAGGTGACAAAAATCATTCGAAAGTCAAAATTGTTGACTAGAGCATTGTGGGCCCACAGGCTAGTCCAGTTGCGGCCGCACATCCCGAGTCAACCCGCAGGTTCGCACTTGCAGCCGCATTACGGGATTATAGCCACCCATTGCCCATGTGCGGCCACACATCCCTTGTGCGGCCGCACGTTCCTAGCAATGTGCACAGATTTGATTTTCAGAAGTTTTGTTACATATTTTGGTGTATTGTGCCGCGGGGCTACATGTATACACATTCGGGTTTCACCCTAATATGTATGTACTTGCTTCCCAAGCCTCCTAAGGCTATATATACCCCTTCCCCTCCTCTTTTTGGGGGATACCAAGAATTTCCAAGTAAACTCTCTCTCTCACTCACATATACCTCAACTCTGAAATTCACACCAATTCCAGCAAGCAATACAATGACTTTAGCACACCAGAAGCAAAGGATATCAAATTTAACAAACCTCCAAAATCTGAGGGGAGCATCCAAGCTTCCGTCTTCGCTAAGTTTTTGCTTTTTTTTCAGTATGACTTAACAAACTAGCAGTTAGTTGTTCATTATCTATTGTTTTTATTTATTTTAATCATGATTTATGTGTTTGATAATGGTTAAACATGGTTCATGCATAATCCATGACATTAGAGTAGTTATTCATCATATTTTAATACTTTTGTCACTTTTTGCCTATTGTAGGGTTCTTTTTTCATTCATAACTTGCACATCATGCATATACACCGAGAATACTCATTGATCATTCATTTATATCGCTGCGTTTTGCTGCTTTTAGATGTTTTATGTGTTTAATTCATGAGTCTATTGCGTATATATCATAGTTTGTGCATTCTGGACCTTTATGGTTTCATAATATGCACGTTTGCATTAGTTTTTCTAACATCTGGGATTATGCATTTAGATTAATATTCATCTTTTTGTTTTCATTCTTCCCTTCTTTTCTTGATGCTTTTTTTAATTTTTTTTTTACCCGTACGTATTCTGCTAAATATCATTGTGTTTTTTTCTGCTAAATATCATTGCGTTTTTTTGTACAGATCTCAAAACTGAGCATGATTCCAGTGGTTTGTGTAATGGAGTGGATCCTTCATAACAAGCATTACTCAAGGGAAGTTAAAATGTCAGTTGTGGTTGTGGTCATAGGTGTGGGTGTTTGTACTGTGACCGATGTCAAAGTTAATGCCAAAGGTTTTCTATGTGCCTTCATGGCAGTATTGTCTACATCGCTGCAACAAATTGTGAGTACTTTTGTAATTCCCCTCTTATATTTTTGCTAGTTATATTGAGTACAATGCTTTATGAACCAGATCATGCACCATCCAAGGCGGGGATTGGCTTACTACTCAGTGATTCAGCTGTATTGGTGGCTTAAGATTGATTTTAATTCCATCATGATGATAGTGGACAACTTTTTTGAAACTCAAATAAATAGTAAATAGATTATAATTGGAGAAATTGAAGGTTAGATGCGAAGAAATAAAAGAAAAGAATATGTTATAATGCATTGGAAATCACATTTAGGTTTTTAGACACTCACACCAAGAAGAGAAGCATCAAACATCATTAATATATTGCTTTATGAGACTTCTTTGTTCACGACTTTAACAATTTAAAAATAAAACACCATGGCAGCTATTCTACAGCCCCAAATTGAAATTCTTAAAGTACCTTTAAAGCACACAAATATTATAAAAACGCGTCCTAGCCTATATTTGTGACACATAATTGAAACATACTAAAGACTCAATGAGAGTTTGACATACATTGTTAAGCAATTTTCTATTAGCTTGAGCTTCAGCGCATTTGGTGATCTAATAAGGTACTGGAGTGTTGCCTTTAGAAGTCTTTGTGTGTACATATATATTCATTTTGTTTGTCGGTGAGCATTTTGTTTTGTGTTCATGTACCCTATTTGTTTCAAATTGTGTGTTAATTTGTCTTTTTCACATTCAAGAGGAGATTGCGTGTAAGGGTGTGAGATCTTGATACACATTATTGGGTCCATCCCAATGCCAACAACTTAAGTTTTTTGGGGAAATTGGTGATCTAACTGCTTTAATTATCTTGACACAATTTAGAAAAATTTAGTTCTCCTATGGGTTTACGTTGAATTTAAGCCAAATCTTCATAATTTTCTTAATTCTTTTAAATTTGTAGTTTCCTAGGATCCCAATATTTTGCATCATTCTCCTTCAAAAGGAGACAAGTGGACATAGTATTAGAATGTAAAGACACAAGAAATTCTCATGCCACTGCTTTTAAATTTGTATTGACAAGGTATGATGCAGTCCAGAAGAAATGCTTGAAAAAGTAAATCCAAGAGTGCAGCTAAAGTTACATACTTAGTTGTATGAAGTGAGAATGGGGGCAATATGACATGTAAAAGAGTCTAAGGTTGGGAGCGCTTAGGGGAGCGTTTGTGTATGTTATATATAAATATAACGTAAGATATTTTTGCTTAGTTGTACTATATATGTTAAATGTCTACGGTAGTGTGAGTCTTTGTAAAGAAGAAAATGAAAACGGATAGCAGTGTGAGTCTTCGTAAAGAAGTCGACCAACTGGAGAAAGGAGGGAACAAAGGGGAGAGAGTGTAAGAGTGCCTGCTTGAAGGTGCGCTTATAGAAAACCAAATTGTGGACAATCTGAACAGCACTTTGATTGTCACAACACAATGGAGTCGGGAAGAAAGAGAAACACCCATATTAGAAAGAGGCCAGTGAAGCCAAACTATTTGAAAAGTGGCATGAGTCATGGCACGATATTCAGTCTCGGTAGTGGAGCGAGCAACAACAGACTATTTCTTACTTTTTTAAGAGATGAGAGAATCTCCAAGAAAAACATAGAAACCTAAGATAGATTTGCAATCAGAGATATCATCGGCCCAATTAGCATTAGCATAGACACAAAGGGTCAAATCCCAAGAGGAAGACAATAGTAAGCATTGCAACGAAGTACCACGAATGCGGCGAAGAGTATGTAACAAGATAGCCTAGTGGATGGGACGCGGAGCAAATACAAACTGGCTGAGAATGTGAACAACATAAGAGATATTTGGACGAGTCACAGTGAGATAAACAAGATATCTAACCAACTCATGATAGACAGTAGGATCCTTAAGGAGACCACCATCAAAAGCAGAGAACTCAGCATGCAATTCTATAGGAGTGTCCACAATCATGTCATTAGTGAGAAGATCAAGCACTAGATTAACTCATCATTCATGGCAGTGACTAACTCAATTTGGATCATGACAAGCTTCTTACGGGGTGACGTTACCAAGGGGGGATAGCAAGGTGCAGGAGAAGCACAATCCAGAGAGACATGAGGATCAATAGAGCTAGAGGAGGGGGAACTCGAAGGTGCATAGTGATGCTTGTAAAGAAAGAAGAGGAGCAGGCGAAGAATCTGAAGAGTTGGCAGGAGGTAGATTAGACACCTCAAGATCAGAGACACTCATCTGGCGTACATCAGGAGGAAGGGGTCAATATGAACTAATTCATCTTTGACAATGGAGGTAAGGGTGGATGGAGTGAAGCAGGGTAGTTTTCCCAAGAAGGTGACATGCTGGGAAACATAGAACTTTTTGGTCATATGATCATAATATCAATAACCCTTTTGATGAATACTATACCCCAGAAATACACATAAGACAAAATGGGAATTAAGCTTGGAGCAGTCTTGTTTGGGAAGAAGAACAGAATATGCAGAGCCAAGGAGATGAAGAGAGTAATCGGGAACTTCACCAAGGAGTCGCTTATAAGGAGAGGAACACGAGAGGAGTAGGCATCATATCGAGAAGATATGTAGCAGTGAGCAACACAGATGTCATAGAAGACGAAAGGAGGGATTGAGTTGTATCGAGGAAATGCAATGTTTGTGTTCAATTTGACCATTTTGTGCAAGGGTATCAAAACAAGAGGATTGATGAATAGTACCATTAGCTGCTAGAAACTCTGTAAAAACCATATCTGTGTGTCATTAAGTAGATCCATGTAAACTGACTATAATCATCAACAAATGACACGTACTACTAGTTGGTATGGTTGGAGCTGAATCGTCGGACGTTTGAAGGTTTAGCAGTTTCGGTTCCTTGTTTTTCAAACAGGGTGTTGGTTGTCTTACATAGATGGGTGTCCGGAATTGTGGACCCAGATGTCTTTGCTTTTTTGGATTTCATTGAGTCTTTATTTCTTCAATGAATGTAGTTTTCGGGTTCTTTGCATCATCTTGATGCTATATTAATTGATAAACAATGGGAATAATATTCATTACTTAGAAATGTACATGGAAAGACTATATATACAAGTTATAGCTAGCTAATCCCTATAAATCAGGTATATGACTAATCGAAATACAAATTCAAATATTCACTGCTTGGCCAGCTCACACACAGATCCAGCTTGGTTATCTTTGACACTCCTTCTCAAGCTGGCAACAATGATTGAAACCCCCATTGTTTGAAGACCCCCACAACCTCCTTTGGATTTCTACCATTGATGGTGTGGGCTCCACACATACATGAGTGGGTCCCATACATACATCAATGGTGGAGATCCAAAGGGGGTTGTGGGGGGTCTTTAAAAAATGGGGATCTCAAGCATTAATCAGTGGATATTATCCATTCCCTCCGAAAGACTAAACCATTTAACCCTTTAGTTAGCACATCAGCCACTTGACCCCTTGAAGGTACAAACGGTGTGCAAATTAGTCCACTGTCCAGCTTTTCTTTTATGAAGTGCCTGTCAACTTCAATGTGTTTGGTCCGATCATGTTGCACAGGATTATGTGCAATGTTGATTGCTGACTTGTTATCACAATAAAGTTTCATAGGTCCTTCCCACGCAACTTTCAAATCTTCTAAAATTATTTTCGGCCACAGAAGTTCACAAACTCCTAATGCCATTGCCCCCGAATTCAGCTTCCGCACTTGATCTAGCAACCACATTTTGCTTCTTGCTTCTCCATGTTATAAGGTTTCCTCCAAGGAAAGTACAATAGCCCGATGTTGATCTTCTGTCATCAATAGATCCTGCATAGGCTGCATCTGTATAGGCTTCTAGTGTGAACTTTCCTCCTTTCATGAACAATATCCCTTTTCCTAAAGTTCCCTTACGATATTGTAAATTCTAATGTACTGCTTGGGGATGGATCTCTTTGGGATTATGCATGAACTGACTTACAACTCCTGTTGCATAGGCTATGTTTGGTCTAGTGTGTGAGAGGTAAATCAATCTACCAACCAATCTTTGATAAGACTCTCTATTTACCACTGCGCCTTCAACAACTTCACAAAGCTTGTGATTTTGTTCGATAGGAGTTTCCATTGGTTTACACCCAAGCTTCCCTGTCTCAGCTAACAAATCCAATACATACCTTTGTTGGGATATAAAAATCCCATGTTGAGAGCAAGCAACTTCAATGCCATGAAAGTATTTCAATCTACCAAGTTCTTTTATTTCAAACTCTTGAACTAGGCATCTTTCAAAGCTTCTCTTCCTTCCAAGTCATCTCTTGTTACAATAATATCATCTACATAAACCAACAAAGCAGTGACTCCCCCTGTAGCCAAATGTTTAACAAATAGTGTGGGATCACCTTGACTTTGCTTATATCCCAAAGCTTTCATAACTCTGGTAAATCTACCAAACCAAGCTCTAAGGGATTGCTTTAACCCATAGGGGGCCTTCTTCAATTTACACACCTTGTTACCTTTTGACTCAAAACCTGGAGGGACTTCCATGTGGATTTCCTCATCAAAATCGCCATGTAAGAAGGCATTCTTGACATCATATTGCTGCATACTCCACTCACAATTGGCAGCTAGAGATAACAAGATCCTCACAGTGTTCATTTTGGCAACCGGGGCACAGGTTTCAAGATAGCGTGTTCCATAGGTTTGGGTATACCCTTTAGCCACCATACTTGCTGTTACAGGGTCAATTTTTGTCTCAAATTTCCAGCCTGTAATGGCAGTAAGTTGGGCACTTAGTCTCAACCAATTCTGAATACACACACAAAGTGTTATAGCAAATAAGAGAATAGGCAACAAGAGATTACAGGAAAATTCTCAACCTTTATTAATTGCACCAACAATACAAAGGAGGCCTATGGTAACTCTTACAAACACTTGGTTAATTTTTGAGTTCCATGGCTATGCCTAAAATAAGCTTACAATCAGTTATAAACTTACAACCAACATTACAAGAAAAGCATGCCAAGTGGCATGGCAGTTGAC